TTATCACCAGACATACAATCAAGCAGTAAACAATACCCTAATCAAGGAACTGGGGGGGGGGGATAAAAACAAAACCCGCACCCCCACCAACACTGCCAGGGCATGCCACTGTATATAAACAGAGAGCAAACCCCATTCCATTCTAGCACTGGAGATGTTATTTAGCTGGGTAACAAAACGTTTGCAAGAAGACAACCAAGCTCAGAGAACCCCAAGGACTCCACTCACCTAATTTGAATATATTCTACAGTGAACGTTCTGTTGTACAAAGAATGGGGAAGAAAGAATATATTTACAGATAGCGTTCATTTTTAAATTATTGAAACTCTTAAATGTTTTTGAAGGCATGCCATCTGAAGTCTGAAACCATGACATATGAAGATAAGGAGCATCAGCTGGTCACTGACTGTGTTAAAGAAATCAGTGAGTATTCTGATCACATCTTCCACAGAGAATAGATCTTTAGGCACAAATCCAGTTTACCTTCATGCTTCCAGGTTGGAGCTCTGTACCATTCTTAACTTCACTTGGTCCTTTAAAAGACTTGAGGTATTTCAGGGTCCCTCCAGACATAACTGAATTGCACTTTATATCATCCCACCAAACTGGCCATGCTGCAAGGGGTTCCAGCTCAATAATTAGCAGGTAATAGGTTCCCTAATTTATATACATGAATAGAAATCTGTAAAGCTTTAAATTATATTTTTTCTATTAAGTTAAATTCCTCTTACCTTTTCTCTGCCAATCTTTAAATATGATTATTAATTGCAAATCCACTAGCCTTCAAGTGAAGTGTTAATAAACGTTGCTATTAAGCAGGTTATTAAAACCATTAAAACTTGATTAATGGAGAATCCTAGTTGTTGAGATCTAGGATTCAAACAGACACAGTTATCTGAATTGCATTTTCTCCTGGCTTTTTCTTGAAATAATTTCATTGTGTGAAAGGCTTTAAGGAGTTTGTTGTTCAGAATAGGTGATACACTGCTGTTGTCTCAACTAAGCATGTATCCTGCTATATGTCTTAGAGGAAACAAATGCTCAGATTGCAAGAATGAGTGAAGAGCTGATGAGGAAAGATGAAGAGCTGATTCAATACCAGGAGGAAATCTCATCCCTCTTATCTCAGATTGTTGATCTTCAGCATAAGATCAAAGAGGTATGTATGCACAAAGTTCAGAGAACAGAAATGTTGAAAGTCAAACAGTTACTTGCATTAAAAAGTTATTATTTCCATGTTCATGTAGGATTAAATAACCATATTTTGTATGCCCTCAGCATGTAATTGAAAAGGAAGAACTGAAACTGCATCTACAAGCTTCTAAAGATGCCCAGAAACAGCTGACAGCAGAGGTACTGATGCCATCTAGTTTCCCATTTTTGGTGTAGAGAACAAATATGGAAAAAAAATGGGGAATATTTTATATGAGAATATTCAGATTTTTCCTGAATATTGATAGAGAATTTTTTGGTGTACAGCTTTGATTGGGATACCATTCACTTTTTTTTTGGTTTGACAAATGAAGAAAAAAATCAGAATCTTAAAAAAAGACTCCCTACTATTTTTTATTCATTGTATAAATACCTTAGTATTTTTTCCCATTGCCAGAATATTATGGCTGAAATATTTGAAGGATGAAGAATCTATAAAACATACTTCATATGGTTCATGGTGCAATTCTGTATATGTTTGTGTTGGCTGAGGCAGAATTCACTGTGTTGGTAACACTAGGCTTCTGCAGAACTGATGAGTTGCTCTACTGTCGCTGAAGGGCTCGGCATGCCTGCTTTGACCTCTTCCATGAACGGCTTTTGGGAGTTCCTGTATGGCCAGAAGACCTTGGAGAATCTCAAGGCAGCATTAAGCTTTCAAGAGACTGTGGCTAATTTGTACCTTATGCACGTGAATCTAGCACATAGACCTGATATTTAATGCAGTAGTTGTAGGTTTGTAGCCTTACATATTACATGCAAATAAATATAAAACATTACTTAAAAATTAAGATTGTATCCAATCTGATCATCCCCAGTTTCACCAGAATAGATTCCTCCTCTCTCTGGCAGCTTCTCTTGTTCCCCTAGAATCTATTCCAGCAGAAAACAAACACACTGGACAAAAGAAAGCACCCCTATGGAATGCTGGGTGTTGGCCTCTTTTGGAGGGATACTAAAATAATTTACATAGCATTTCTTTTACCTTAAGTTTTTTTAAAAAATGAAGGGACAGCAGCTGTTAACATATTTCAGCATGCTTAAAATAGGTATTTCATTAGTAGAATTGTAATTTTGTAATTGCTAGTTTGTCCATCTTCTATTTATTATATCAGTGATTGATTAATGTGTGATTTCAGAAATATCTCATTGGTAATAATATTTCTTTGGATTATATGTAATTAGCTTCTTCAGTACCTCTTCTTCTCATGGTTGATTGACCTTTTATATTCTTGTAGCTGCATGATGTACAAGAGCGGAATACAGAATGTCTGGGGATGTTGCATGAGTCACAAGAAGAAGTGAAGGGATTGCGCAGTAAAGCTAGCCAGGCTGCCCTTCTCAGCCGACCCCAGCTGTGTGGACCATTTCCTGCGGTAATCTAAGCTTTCTGACTGTAGCAGATCCCATTAGTTAAGCTCTTTGATCCTGCCAATATGTTTTAGGTATGATGAAATTTCAACGGCAAACTTGAACTGGTTGTTCTTCGGAAATATCAGAGAAAGTTGGCACCAGTGATCCCTTCTAAATTTAGTTTCTTTTTCTGTGTCCTACTTTCTTCTGTATTAACTGAGTAACTTATTTCATTTGGAGAACAAAGAAAGCAATATTGAACAAGAAGGACTGGCACTCTTCTTGTTTTGATGCTACTTTCCCTTTAGTTTTGTTGTGGTTTGGAAGAAACACTATGGTTCTTTTGATAGAACTGCAGCTAAGATTTGTGTCCACCACCTCTTTCTGACTTTACTCTCATTATAATAGTCTCTCCTACAAACTTCTCAACCAGTTTCTTTTTCTGCTATGTGCCAGTTTCTATCTTCTGAGGGAAGAGGAAGGAACAGATTCTCTGGACAGATCTTTAGTCATCTGCTTGTTAAGAATGTCTGTGGAAATAACATTTTCTGCTTTTTCCTCTTCTTTTAAGAAAGAATATTGGGAACCCACTAGTCTTTGGAAGGTGTGCTTTAATTGAACATTAGTATGGTTTGTCATGACATGTAAACTTTGATATAACTCATAAATGAAAAACTGGAAAAATTACATTTTCTCATCCTTGTATAATGATATATTAACATTACTTGCCATTTTTCTACTTAGTTGTCCTTTTGTAATATCTGTTCTTTACGCTTAGAACTAAATATTTCAAGCATTTATTGTGAAGAAATATTGTATGAAATATTTTCTTCCTATATAAATAGATTAAACAACAAGGTTTCTGTTAAGCAGGAGAGTCAGAATAACATCAGTAGCATTGCAGTAGATTAAGCCCTGCAACTTTTCTATGTGTGTTTTGACATTGCGCACATGCCTAGGAGAGGTGGGCTTATGTCAAGAATGCTGTTCTGATGAACATAGCCAGTTCTTGTAGATACTGCTGCTATTAGGAATTACCTCATTCCTTCATTACTGTAGGAAAAACCTCAGTATGACTGTACTATAGAAATCAAGCAATGAATTGCCAAAGCAGTTCTGCAAACAAGCTGTCAAGATCACTTCTGAATGGTAGATAGAGCTATTGGTTCCTACTGTGTTACTTTTTTAATAACAGTAAATATGCATTTAGAAAAATGTCCCTGTTCTAAATTATGATTGTCGATCACTTCGGCACCATTTACATTTTGTTAAGACATTTTGCTTGTAACTGAACTTTATAAGGAGTCCCCCAGCAATTTTAGATGTGTACATAGCACATAATTGGAGGATGAGGAAACTTTCGGATGGGAATGTACTGATTTCCTGGAAATAAATTTTTGGAATAAAGAGGTACTTATTTTGTCCTAACTGAAGATTCCTCCAAAGAAGTAATGTTGTTGTAGCTCCTTAATTACTTTGTAAAGGGAGTTGTTTTTGTACTTCAGTATCTCCTTTTCTTGGTAGCTGATGAGAATATCTGTTTTAGTAATATAATCTGAATGTCCAGATTGTTAGAGAATCTAAAATAATGGAGATTTACCCAGGTTTTGAAAAGGAAATGATTGAGCAGAAAAGAATCTGAAGTTACCACTTAACTCTTCACCAGCATGGATCTGTACGAGTGTAATATGTAAATGCTATCTTAAACTTCAGACATGGACTTCGTTGGGACATTTTCTCGATATTATTAAACTTACTAAAAAAAATCAGGTTACCATTTTATCTGGGTATACCTTAAGAAACTTGTTAATTCCTACTGTCTTAAATTTGAAGGAATCTCTGGCAGCAGAAATTGAGGGAACAATGAAGAAAGTGCTAAGTTTGGATGAGGAATCACTGTCTAAACAAAAGTAAGTGCAGCTCTTGTTTTTTCCACCTTAACTCACTTTGCAGGTTCTTCTATAGGGCTTCTTCCCTGCTATCACTATAGTATTAAGACAAATTGATGTAGTTCCACATATATGTCCATTATTATTTTATAATAATATACTATATATAATATATATATAATTTTTGTATGTGTATTTAGATATTTTCAAGCTATTACACAGTGTATTAATTATACTCTCTAATGTATAACTTGCTGAATGCAAACTGAAATTATATCCTTGACTAAGTCTTCAGGGCTTTTATGTTTAATTTATGATAAACTCTGAAAAATTATTCCACAACATTTTAAGATAAGAACATGCAGTTCTAGTAATTACAAGACTAGTTTTCTTTCATTAGAAAAGCTACCAGCTACATTTTTATTTTCACAACATTTTTTCAGGGTATTTATTGGTGCAGGCATATAATAAGCTAATTGCCCCTTACATGAATCCCACTAAGAAACTCTGAAGTCATTATTGTAGCCTTTTACTACACGTTTAGGAGAACATTTGCAATCATGGTTAGGAGAACATGTTGCTGTAACTCTCATAGTGTAAACAAATGGGTGGTATAAGCCTGTCCATCAAAAGTGAGATGGTGAGAGGGGAAATGCATGCATCAGTTTTTATAAATTGTGATATATTTGGTACCACCCAGTCATTTACCAGTCGATCTCTTTTGAGATGGGTGCCGTTTCAGCAACTGGGGAGGGGCTGAGAAGAAGGAAGATGATGACAGAGATACCTTTTGTGCATACTTAGAATGAGCTAAATAACGTATTATTGGTTGGTTTTTAAGGGTGATTTTTAATACTAGATGAAATATTTATCAACCTCTTCCAGAAGAGACTTGCAAAATCTTTTTGTATTTATTGTCTGTTTCCCTTCTTTTTTCCAGGATTCAACAGAAACGTATATTTGATACTGTCAAACTTGCTAATGGTATATGTGGCCGTTCTGCTTCGTGTCCTGTTTCGCTATCCATTCCAGGATCGAATCGTTCAAGTGTTGTCATGACAGCAAAACCTTTTCATTCTGGTTTGCAACTTGTGGAAGGAAAAGTACCTCAGCCTCTAAAGACCAGTGCAGAGGATGTTTCCAAGTAAAGAAATAGCAGTGTTTGAGCTTTGATTGGCTGTGTTGGATTCTGCACTACTAGCTTTTTATGGGTGTGGGGGGAATTGAGGGCAGGGGAGAATTTTTCTTTTAAGCCAAATTCTGCTTTTTTCTTATGTGCTTTATTTAATATATATGTGCGCATGAATGTCGAGTACTATCAAGTAGAAGGCTGCACATAGCCATTTTTCCTTTCAGTAACGTAATGTTATGCCTGCCGAGGGAAATATTTTGGCATCGTTCAAATAGTATAATAATGTCAATTTAGAACATGAGTAAGCAACAAAGAAAAGGTCACTTTACTTCCATTACACAGATTTCCCTCATGGAGTCTTCACCCAAACTCTATTCGCTGTGGGTGGAGACAGCACAGTTACGAGACAATTGGGACAGGATGGAATTTAGTACAAATCACTTACTACTAGAGGAGCACATTACTTTCTCTGCTTACAGCAACATGCCATATACATGGTTCTGAATCGTCTAAAAGAATGAGGATGGCAAATTGTGCTAAAATATGGACATACCAATTTATGTCCTATTGATACAATTTTAATTTTGCATTTTAACAGGGAAACTCAGAAGCTGAGCCATCCAGATATCCCTTCAGAAGATGATGTAGCCACTGCTTTATATAGACTTAATCTCCGTTGTCAGAATTACTTGAGTGAAAAACAGTTCTTTGAAGAAGAATGGAAGCGTAAGATACTTCTGCTGGCTGACCAGAAAAAAGAACCGGTAGAGAACTGTCTTTCACTGAGTGGCAATTCAGAACGTGCTGACTTCTCTGGATCTTCCAGCAGCATGCGTTCTCTTCTCCCAGAGAAATTGCAAATCGTCAAACCCCTTGAAGGTAAGATGATCACAGTCTTGTTTTCAGTCTCCAGTGAATACAGTTTTTCATTGTGAGCTTAATATGGTTGTCTGCAGGTGGCTACTTTACAGCCAGGCAGTAATCTGGCCTCAGGTTCAATTATCTGATCATTCCTCCTCATTATCTCTCAGACTACTTCCAGATATAAATTTGTGCTGTCCCACAAAAAGGGTGTTTGATTCTGTTTCTGATTATTTTTCATCCAAATTATATATTCGAGGGAAACTATTGAATACAATTGTGTGCCTTTTGGTATCTCTGCCTGACTTACTTCGCTGTTAATCCTTATTACATAGCTCTGTGTCTCACACCCAACTCCATGTTATTGAAAACAATCCATGTCCAAGCAAGTTTTCACAGTGAAACAGAAAGAATAAACTTTTGTGGGAGTTAACAAGCAAAGAAATTGCTGCCATTTGGTCCATTAAAATGCTATCTAGATATTCACTGAAGGAAAATAAATGAGTGAAGATAGTGCCTTTGTCTTAACCCAAACCATTATTTTCTGCTTCAAAGGAAAACATCTCAGATTTAAATCTGAAGGATCCACAAGTGGGAGAGACCTTGCTAGATTTGCTCCTATCTTACAAAATCCTGTCAATTTGCATTATGTGCAGTAGCCTCCAACTCCCAATTAATACTTCTTTAGTTGGCTGCCAAGTATTAAGACGTGCACTGCGCGAAGGCCTTTTGTGACTTCTGTTTCTTCCTCTCTAGGCTCTCAGACCCTGTTTCATTGGCAGCAGCTGGCTCAGCCTAACCTAGGCACAATTCTTGACCCTCGCCCTGGTGTTGTCACAAAAGGTTTCACAGCACTGTCTCAAGAGGATGTCTATTATCTTTCTGATTTGGAAGAAGATGAAGAAGAAAGGGATGAAGGTATAACGTTCCAAGTACAGCCTTCTCCATGGGAGGAAAGTAAAGAGATAGTGCCAAAGTCAATGCCAGGAATTTTCCTCCCACCTGTTAAATTAGCGACAGTTCCTGTTACAGGTAAGGATTTGTAGCATAACCATTGCAATCTTTGTTGAATTTTCTAACCACCTAGTCTTGTATTTCTGCTGAAGTTTTAGTGACTTCACAGATCATTTTTTATTTATTATTTTATAATGTGCGATCAGTCCTGTTAAAGCAGTTCAATTCTTGCCAGAAGATACATATTCTTGAGGAATGTGTGAGATCCTATCCCACTTGCATAAGGGAGGTTCTGGAAACATATTTCCCAGAATCTCTTAAAATATATATTCAGAGAGTTCAAAAACCCTCTTGAATGGAATACACCGTTATGTGAGGAGCTGGGAGGATTCCTGCCAAATTAGGCAGAGATACTTTCAATGAAAAAGCTTACTTGCAGGAACTCTTTTCCATTAATATAGCAGAGGCTTATATATAGTTAAATGCGACAGTTTTAAAGTCTGAATCATGTTTTGCTCACTATTTTATTGAGGAGGGTGATTTTTCTGTTACTTTTGTGGAAATAAAAAAAAATTAACCTTACATTCAGTCAAAGATAATGGCTAGTACAGTAAAGTAGATGATGACAGTAACAGTCTTGAGCTGCTGCTGAAGTAATGGTCATTATATAGAGTGACCATGGGATTGGCTGCTCCCTCCCTTGATTTCCCTCTACTTGATTTAACTATAATTAAACCTCATCTTGGCATGTTACTTATCTGTCATTAATACTAACAAATAAAATTACTCAAGCTCTTGAAATTAATGTGACCAGAATCCTTAAACACTGTTAATTGCACAAGTGGAATTTGGACCAAAGAGGAACTGTAGAATGCTTGAACATGCTCCCCATTTTTAATTATAGTTAACAAATGGGGAAGAATATATCAACTGCATTTCTAGTTGCCATATTCACAATAGCCCATTCTAAAATAGCAAAACGTGTTTAAGAATCATAATTTATCTTAGACATCTTATTAGAAAGATGACTTGAAGTAATGTGGACCATGTTTTCTTTCATCTATTTGCATTGAATTACTAAATTTATTACACATTAATTCAATTTTTCATTAGCCTGCTAGTATATTTTCCATCTCCTTTTCATCATATGTGTTATAATTTGCATTGTAGCTTCCAATCCAGGAAAATGTCTTTCATCTACAAACTCTACATTTACTTTTACTACTTGTAGAATACTTCACCCATCTGATATCACACAGGTTACACCCAGGTAAGGACATTTACTGTTACTCTTAACAGTTAGTTATATTCAGGCAATCTGGAATTGAGCATCTACTTGATAAATAGGCTACAGTTTATGCATTTATTAATTAAATTAGCAACATTCACATTTAAATTTTTTAGAAAGCAATGAAAATAAAGAAGGAAAAGCAGATAAACAGGGGTATGTACCATGTAATGAATTCAGAGCCTAAAATTGGTGCAGCACAGAAGTTCTGACCTTGAATACTGAAAGGTTTCTCCTTCCCTCCCCCCTTTGCACTTTCTACAGAAGTTGTTAATAACAATATTTAATATGTTTTATTTTCTTGCTTTGTTTTCCAGTGCTTTGTATCCTCCCTCGTGCTCTGGAAGTTGTAGCAGTACAAGCAGTGTAATTACAAGCTCCCCAGCCATGTTGTATAAGCTTAGTATTGGAGAATTCCTCACTAACAGAAGAGATTCCACTACCACTTTCAGTAGTACTAGAAGTTTAGCTAAGCTTTTGCAAGAACAAGGCATCTCAGCCACGGTCTACAACAGTCCGGTCTTGGAGAAAGCGCCACTGCTTCATCATTCCAAGATACTTGCTGTACCATCAACACCTCCAAATTCTCCTTTGCATTCCCCTTGTTCTTCTCCTCTGCCTTTTGAGCCTCGAGCATATGTGTCTGAAAATTTTTTGGCCTCTCGACCAGCTGAAACATTATTACATGAGCTGTATGGACAAAAAACCTCAAATCCTTCTGATGCAGGACAGCTGAAGATGAATCTGGTGGAGAGGCTAAAGAAACTGGGGATTGCTAGAGCTGTCAAACAGCCTGAGGCAGGGGGTAATAGAAAGAGTCAGAGGAAAAGTAACTGTCTCCAAAGACAAGGCTCAAGAGTGTATGTTAGCACAGGCAGCAATTTGATGGGGGGCCTGAGAAGAAACCACAGTCTTCCAGTCTTGATTGGAGCACTTGCAGGCCCAATAAGCACAACCTCCACAACAATGGGGGTCCTGAAGGAGGATTGAGCTGTTTAGCATGGGATACTCTTAGCTGGGAAACAGTACAAAATGCTTGGAAATGGGAAGGTAGATTAGGTATAAATGGATGCATTAGGAATAAGATTATTGAATGATAAAGGTACGTGGCTAAATGGGATGTGGGAGATTCAGCATAAGAAGAAATAGTAAAATTTAAGAAAGGAAGAAGTAGAGAAAACCAAAATTTATTCTTGAGATGACTGAAAAGACTTTCATGATTAAAAGGAGGTAATGCAAACAAATATATTTTCTACCATTGATATTAAAAAAAAAAAACAGCAAATGTCTATGCAATTTTATTTTAGAATATGTTTTATTGGGTATCATCTAAGAGATCCTTGTATATAAGTAGAACATCTAAAATTGTATATAATTGTAAGGAAGTACATACTCCAGACAACAGGTGCAATTTGTTTATAGAGAAGAAATCAGCTCAATTCTAAAGTAGAAAGATCAGTGAAATATTTGCTTTTTTACTAAATAATCTTGCACACTCAAAAAATCTAGGAGTGCAAAATTACAATGTACTCTGTTGCACAAACAAAAAACCTCTGTTTAAAAAGGAGTCAAGTGTATGTGCTTTATGGAGGTTATATATACATTTGGGAAGGATATATTTTGCAAGCAAGAAAGGTTTTGTTATTCTACATGTGGTAGTATTTGGAAGATGTTGCACATTAATGTTGCAATAATCTTGAAGATTCTGTACATTTGCAACACAATCACTAGTTAATAAAATTGTCTCTGGGAACATGTATGTTACAAAAATAGTGTGATAACAATTTTCTGATTCTTGGGAAGTTAAGGCATAGCTTTCAGAGAGAAACATCAAGAGATTTACAAAGTAATATGCACAACTTGCTGTGTTAATGTGCAACAGGATGACAGCTATTATTCAAGCTGCAGTAGACAAAGAATTGTGATTCATAAATAATTAAATCTAAGATAAATTCCAAGCTTAATGTTTCTGAACCAATTTTGGGATGGCAGGATTTTGTGTTTCACAGAGTGAACACAGTGGGATAGCTTTGAATGTGAGGCAGAAGCGGGAAGGAGAGAAAAAGCACAAGTGACTCAGATTTTTCTTCTTTTATATTTGGATAACTGAAGGAGGAGATTCTTAAACTACACACATCTCACTTGCTCATTTAATTGCTGATCAAGAATATTTGCAAAGAGTGCCATGAGTGCACTGAGTTGCTTGATTTATTTTTACAATGAGCAAATGCTCATAGCCACCTTGCCATAAATCAAGAAGGAGATGATGAAGATATGTATGTTTGAAAATTAAGCACAGACAGTAACTATGTGATTTAACCTGTGGGTTTTATAAGGCTATTCGCTATATTAGTTCTAGACACTGTAGGGTGCATCCAGAAGTACTAAGCAGATGGGGTGTAAGCAATATGGTAGCTTTATATGTCAATGTATTCAAAAATAGGGGTTTCTCCCCTTGAATAGGCATTCTAGATGAAGATTTGGAAGGATTCCTTTAAAACAAACTTTTTCAAGATTGCAAACAGCCATGCAAGTAGCTTGTCCATTCAGTCTCTTGGTATCAATCAATGAGCTTGGCAGCATTGGTTGCAGTTACTAAATAGTAAATAGTGCTTGTAAATAATAAAAATGTATTTATTTTAAGTTTCTATATACGGGTTAATTCTATTTAAATTCTATTTTAATTTTTTTAAAGCTTGTAAAATGCATTTCCTTTGTGATGTTTAAAAACTTTGCTTTCCTTGGCAACATAAATAAAAGGGAATATTTAAGTTTGGATTCCAAAGCAGCCTGCCATACTTTTACATAAGCAGAGAAAAACCTGGGTAATGAAACAACATTTCTTCAAGATAATCCGCAATAACTACAGGGAAACAAGCACAATATTTCAGCTACTGTGGATTTGATGTATGTCAGTTTGATGTATTATGTAAATTCTTCCTGCATCATAGTAATATAGAGTAAACATTTCTAATTGGATTTCATATTGTCTTTTTTAATTATTTGTACTTGTTATCAGTGGCAGAAGAAGACCTGGTAAGTCAGACTTCTTTCTTTTGATCCATATCCTATAAAGGTTTTGTAAAACTATTCAGTAAATGCATGTTTAGTAAAACTTTTTTTTCCTTTTTTCCAAGTATGGATTATCTAAGATGTCATATTCTGATTTATTTACTTGGGGCTGATTTACATTTTTTACTTTCTCTGTCACTAATGAGAGTGCAACCAGTAGCAGAAAAATCTCAATCTATTTACCTTCAGAGTTAATTTGCTGGTTGTATAGCATGCCTACAGGCCCTCCTCTCAATAAAATTAGCTGGGAGCTAGAGGAGCAGTACTTTTGTGCCAAAGGTCTTTAAAGAAATGAGCCTTGAGTATAGAAAACATATGAAGAAATATCAAGTCAATACAGATACAAGAAATATACGACTATGGAACATCCCAGATAGCTGCTGTTATAATGAATGAGCTATCTGGCAGGATTGATACAGCTAACCAATAATAATAACCCTGTAGGATCCTTTGAAGAATATCATGATCACTTTCATACATGCTTTGATACCATACCTGAGTGCCAATTCTTCATGAAGAAATAGATACTCTTGTCATATAAATCAGTATTAGTAAATGTTTCATTATTATCTGAATTCTTTATTTGTTTGATAAACAATATGTATACTTCAGTCTGCTCCTTGAATGAAAAGAATGCTTTTTTAAAAAACCAAATATGTCTATTTTAATATGCATATACAGATGAGTCATTTTTTGTGCAGGCAAAACTTAAAATGCATTTCATCTGAGGAAGAAATAATTGTAATCCAACATATAATAAAATATATTATCTCTTTTTGCCTTTCCCCTTAGAGTACACATTTCTTAACATTATAATCTGTGACAGGTTGTTTTTGCATATTATCTCATAGTGGAATTGAAGCTTGATAATAAAAATAGTAAAACTTGCCTTTTTACACATTTCTGTTGTATGGTGTTTTCTTGTACGTGTAACTAATTTTTATTTATTTAAGAAACTTAATGCCTCTGTTCCTAAAAGAGAACTAATGGCAGAAAAAGAATCACCAATGTTTAAACAGGTTTAAACTAGTAAATGAAAACATTTGACAGTCTTAATAGTCTAGATAAACAATCTTGATCATAAAAGATGAACAATAAAAATAGACTATTCAATTTGAACCATGCACTTTCTTGAAGTGACCGATTCGTATACACTGCCTAAAACAAGACTATGTTAATTCTTTGTTGGCAGACCATTCCATATAGTGGTGACAACCACTGAAGAATTAGACTTTATGGATGGCCATCAAGCGTCATGAAATTGGGGAATGCAGAGTAAGCGCCCTGCAGATGACCAGAGATAAAGTGGCAGCCATTGCATTTCACATTCAAATAAAATAGATGCAACCTTATCAAAAGTTGCCACATTTTGTTCCAGTTGCAATTTCTGGGTATTTTGAGCGGCCAGCCCTATATAGAACACATTGCAGTTTTATAATCTGGAGGTAACTAAAGTATGAATGACTGTAGAAAACTCCGCTTTTGGCAGAAAGTTACTGTATAGGGGATGATCAGCCCAAACTGAAAACATTCATTCTTTTCACCAATCCCACTTAAAAAATAGGAAATATATTGAATAAAATCATTTGCATTCTAACAGGATTTTTCTCTTGTTAAGATAAACTTGCAGGTTCTTTTACGCCATCTAATCTCTCACAACTGCCTTTTCATTAGAATACAATCCAATGTAATCACGCAGAGAAGGTATCCTTTGCTGACTTCACTTAGTGATTTCATTTGGACATTAAATAGGATGGAGGACAAGACTCTGCCATGTGGAATGCTATTAGCCACTGGCAGTGGTCCTGCACCACCACCACATTCTGTCTTTCAGCAATGAATGGAATCCATTTTTCCGTACTCGGGTACCAATTTCAATAGCTTTCAAGAAGCATAGCATGATGGTCTGCTAAGAAATTCTGGAGGAATCAACAATGTTTCATTTTCCTCATCTATCAAAAAATACAATTCATTTGGAAGATCCAAATCGAGTAGGCAACCTGGTAATTTCCAGGTGTTTTGGACTACAGCCTGCAAAATCCCTTGTCACCAGCCATATGACAGGATAATAGAAGGTGGAAGCACAAAGTATTAGGAGGCACTATACTGTCTATTCACTCTAAATACTTTGCTCAGATACAGCAAGATTTGTATATTATAAATGATGTCAGCTTATTCTAATTTTTTTGACAAAGGACTATTAATGAAAAAAAAAAGACTACCAAGATGCATATACAGCATACAGTGCAGGACTTCACAAAATGATTCTGGACTAAGTCTACATTGAGTGCTGCCTCTTCATCAATTTCTCTGAGTAAAATCCTCAGTTCTGTTTCCTCACACACCTTATTAAGTGTTTTTAGGCACTGGGCAGCATTGGCACAAAAAAGTGTGACTCTGTTTTGGCAATGCCATATTCAAACCTGCCCTCTATGAAGTGACAGTTTTATGAAGAAAATGTTTAAAAGCTTAAGAAAAAAGATAGCAAGTTATAATATTTACTGTAAGGGTGAATACTCTGGTGAGTTTTCAAAGTTTATACAAAGCTTGTGCATGGCTTGTTTTGGTGATGTGTCTCAAAGCTGAAATGCCAGGGGATGGACTGAAAAGCTTTGAGGAGTGACAAAATGGGCCAGCAACAATGGGGAGAAGCCACACTGATCACCTTATTTGTGAAGAATAGTGGAACTGGCAAGGAAGAAAAGAATTGGAGTAATAAAGTGGCTGACAGGAGTACTAGACCCTCCAGTGCTATCATGGGGGAGACCCAATGCATGTTCTGCAATACCAATTTTATTGCCAAAAGATTAGGCAGCCACTTTGTACTAATCTCATTCTTAGTGCAATTTTGCTTTCTGTTTGGCAGTAAATTTAACACTGTGCAACATGATATTCAGTATCAAGTTATAGAGGTTTTGAGGATATCACATGACAGGAAATGTTTTTCTGACTTTCAAAAGCCCAGGAATTACTGTCACTTATCAAGAATGCTTCCCCTTATTTTTAATTCATTGCTTGCTCTGATTTACCTTCAGATGGCTCAGGAAATGTAGTATTAGAGCATTTCCTTTTAGTTTGGAATAATTTAAGTACAAGCATGACTAAATTGATTTGCGTACTGTGCTTTTAAAAATAAAATGGAAGGTGGAGACGGTAAACTTGTTTCCATGGTGAGGGAGAGCTTAAAATCCCCGAAGGAGGGAGATGCTAGAATTCCAAGCTGTAATGGACAGAATCCCCACGCAGTAAACTCTGTTCGGTTGTAAGTTTCTCTGGACTGGTTTTAAGTGTCCTATATTAACTGGCCACTAAAGGGGACAACCCAGATGAGTCTCGTCTCAATCTGAGTGTGCGTGAACCTGCCCCTTGAACCTGAAATGGTGGTAGGCAAAGATCCATCCATTGCCATGACCAACTGCACAGTTTTGAAGTTTGTTTTGATTACTTTGGCATTTCATAATATAACAAAAATGTCACAGTGATCCCCCCCCTTTTTTTTTCAATTGTGCTTGGGATCTGCCAATTTCTCTGTTTAATTTTGTTTTAAATTAAAATTCTTCTATTTTTTTGTTAAAGTGGCAGGCTGGGTATCTAGCATATTTAATTATAAGAATGCCTCCACACAAGCCTCAGAAGCGTTCTTACCCAATAAAAAAGATGAGAGGGCAGCCATTTTGTGCGAGTGCGCATAATATTTTTGTGCCCACAATCCCACAAAGCTTCCAGACTCTGAAACAGAGAATTGAGGTCAGTGTGGGGGTGGATTTATATACCTATACTTAAAATAACTGGTTTCTGCCCCCCTCCCCCATTTCCAGGGCTAAGGGGTGCCTACCTATTTTTAAATTTGGTTGGGTTTCTAAAGTCTCACTATATTTTATAATTGACTTTTGGAAGGTTTATTATTTAAAACTGTAATGAACTCTATCGTGTATTTTAAGTATTGTAAGCCACCTTGGGAATGGATGAACCTTTTCTAAATCTTTGTAAAAGGAATTCAGTGAAATAAATTGTTTTTTATAATGATTTTTATTTTAAAAATTCTCAGATATAAAAGATAAACAATATAAAGTGAAATTAAAGAAAAAGAAAAAAGAAGTGAAAAAGAAAAGTATGAGAGAAAAGTACAAATAGAAACAGGAAACGATATATAAAAAAGCAATTCTTGATCTTCTTTACAGCAGTTACAACCAAACAAATCTTCACACCTTCCTCTTTAAAATTATATCATGTTTCCCTTCTTCCCATATTCAACCTTTTTAAATCCGCAAATCCATAAATCACCAGATCATTTTTTCCCCATTTTCAGCAAAAAGTCCATAAAAAGTTTCCAGTCTAATAAAAATACTTGTCTTGTCCCTGATCAAGCAGGTCAATTTTGTCATCTCTGCAAATTCCATAATTTTCACAGTCCATTCCTCCATTGTGGGTATTTCAGTAATTTTCCATCTTTCTGCATTGCTGCAATCACCATATACAAAACCAATCTTCCATGGGGCTTTTCTAATTGGCTATCCATAAGTCCCAATAGAAAAAGTTCTTGTTTCATCAGTGAAAAAAATTGTTGCTGCTCAAAATCTCTTCATGATGGCTTCCCAATATAATGCCCATGAAGTTCAATCAGTCTGTGCCTCAATGAAGATGAGCTGAAATTTGGTTCAAATGAACAATGGTTCAAAAGAAATGAGAAACAGAAAATATTATTTATTTATATGTTTGTTTAGCTGTTTTCACATACTATAGTGCTTAGCATACTTCCTCAACTTGCTTAGTGTTAGACATTAAACTCCCACCCTCCCCAGCCATCTAGAAACAGAACAACTGTCATCCTTAGAAGCACATATTGGCAGGATAAACCTCTGAACTGTGAAGATCTGTTTTGTCTCCCATCTTGCAGGCTTCTTGACATACAGCTTTCAAGATCAGCAGATTATGTCCCAGCCTCCCTTGTTATATTGCCCTTGTTGGGATCCATGGAAAGCAGGGGGTAAAAAGCTCGTAAAAACTAAAGCAGGCCTGCTGAATCAGAAGCCCAAGTAAGTAAAAGTACAGGGATGAGATGTGTATGTGTGAGGGTCAATAATTTCTCAGCTGCTGAACTACCAAGGAACATTTGGACAACCACAGAATCTCTGTAAGTGTTTGTTAAAGGTTGAGAGGGTTCTGTCATATTTTAGTTTTAGGAAATCCAAAAGAACCCAACCTTTCAAACAAGAAGAGTCACCATTCACTTAAGAGTGACACAAGGGCATTTCTCCAATAATTCATTAAGAAATAATTAAATATTGGATCTTGAGAGGGAAGGAGGCAATATACAATTGGTGGAAGAGTCTGTGAGAGGAAAGAAGCCCTTCATCCTCAGAGCACATGAAATTTTGGGTCTCATGCAACAGTATTGCTCTCAGGTACCTGCCTCCATCCTGACAGATGCACACACAAAACAGGGCCGATAAAAAGCTATTAAAAAGGGTTAGCAATGGTACACTACCAGCATAAAACATAAATTGTCCTCATGATGCATAGAAGCATCAGGGAACCCCTCCCCTACTAAATTTTAAGCAAGGTAAATGGCCAAAATCTCATTGAGTTCCTTTTGATGTACCTGGAGCATGGGAAAATTATTGAATCCCCACATAAACTATGCGTGTACAATGTATGTTACTGTCAGATTTATTGTTTCTCTAATGTGCATTCAGGTATTATAATAATAATGTAACGAGCTGCCGCCTGTTGATCCCAAATCCAGCAACTTTCCTTGCAACCAAAATTGATTCAAAAGAAAGTTCATTTATTGAGAATAACTGTACAGATCCAAAGCATTGCCAAGACTGGTCAAAAGCGTGCCAAAAGCTGTTTTTCTTACTTCCCCCCCCCCCCCCCCCCCCCCCCC